GAGAAATATTCAGTATCCACACAGACTACAGATTCCTACCTACACACACAGACATTATACACTCACATAAATAGCGTACACAGGATCAGCAGACTGTAAGCTCCTATTCAACATTCCACATGGCCCCCTTTTATACCATTTTGGGGGCCAGCACCCCCACCTATGGGTGCAGCCATGATCTGGCTGCTTCCCTCAAATTCCAGTAACGTGACACCCCCAATGCAAAATTGATGCAGGAAGTGATGCCAGTAACATCACTGAGGGCATCACAGGCTTCCCCATGCTTTGGCTCTGGGTCATCACATGTTCTAACCCAATGGCAGAAACAACAGGACAGAGCTGAATGAGAGTATGAGAACCCAGTGTGCCTAAAATAGGCTTCATTATTGCAAGGTCTGCCCTATTGACAGCCATGTCCTTGCCCTGTCTCACCAACCCAAGGTAGAACTTGGTAAAAACCACAGCTACTAGGATCTGCTTCTGCGGCATGATCCATAAGTGTGTCAGGTGATTTTGCCCCGAGCTGAAGAAAATAGTGAATTTATCCAGGCCAGCTCTGGCAACTCTCTGAACAACAATTAACATTGTGCGAATGCAGGTATTCTCATCCCAAATCGTGTAGGCATTTTTGCACTTAGCCACGAAAACAAAATGGTGGTGCGCCTCAGTTTCCCTTTTCACACAGGACCTTCTGTCTGGAAACTCTTTTGTCCTGTAAGAAGTTCCAAGACCAGTTACAAGTGTTAACCATGAAATAGCAAGATCACAATGTCTTTTTACATACTGTCTGTCGTTTGGTACATCTCCGGACAGATTACATGGTATTTCCATAAGATCATGCACATTGTGTATCTTTACATTTCTCTGCAACAATAATACATTGGTTACCAGAATTAACATCAGTAACAAGAACAATCCTATCTCAGGTGTATATTGACATTCTCCATCATGCCCCTTCTTTGGCTCCACACCATTGTAGTTTTGGCCCTTCAGGTTCAATCTGCAAATCTTCTTTGCCAAATCAAGTCCTGACCCTCCCCCTTGTCCTCTGGGCTCCAGGCCTGAAACCTCTGGCCTGACCAAGACAAAGGGCTGGCTGGGCGTGACTCCCTGGCTCACAATGGCCCTGGAATTCTCCCCCTTCCCCCACTCAGTGGGATAACAGCAGTGAGCTGTAGACTCCCAAGTCTCTCCTCTGTCCCTCTCTAACCTCTGTTTCCACATGGAACCAGATATCAACTTCCCTGATTGAGTATGAGTGTCCACCGTGTCCAGAGATGGGAGCGTAACTGCCATCTCCTGCATACTAGATAGAGTGACCACACAGCTGTTCTGCTCTGCATACTTAACTACACAGTCCTTCTCCTGAATCTGAGACACTAACTTCCCACTCTCCTCATCCACCTGGGAATAATCCTGTACACACTGACTTCCCAGCAAGC